GCATGGTAACAACATGTGCTGGTAGCTCAGCCCTGTTAAAATATTAATAATAAAATTAATAAAGATAATATAGGTGTAATCCTTAATTATATTTGCATTAGTTTCGAGTGAATCCACGAGGTCTCTTTGTAGACACACGTACCGATGGCCAGTAGGTACGAGTCCAAATATTGACGTGACATACATAACTAATATTGGTGCCTACATTAAAAGTCACTGGTCGATAATATAATGATCTGACTAACCTTTGTGCCCACTCCTTGGACAGGGCTTTAGCTTGAGCCTCGGTTGGGATGTCTCCTGTCACGAGGAGCCAGAAAAGACCTTCGGGAAGTGGTTCAGCGCCACCCTTAGCCTTAGGCAAGGCCTGTTGGCATTCAGGAATGGACATGCCACGGAAACGGATACCCTCATCAGGGTCCAACACGGATGTCTCCCACACCAAACCCTTGATACCACGCATGCCTCCGTACATCTGAAAAGAACACATTTATTGATATCTATGGACGCCTGCATGGTGCGAGGGTACTTACAGTCCACATTATTGGCTTTGACCTCATAAAACGTCATGATCACTTGATCACGGCTGCAGACGACCCAGAAGATTGATACCGACATGCAGTTATTTATCAATCAATATTATTATTTAATATCAAATAATATGGCCTTGATATTTTGCCTTCGTTTACAAACGATTATGTATTATGTATGTTTGAAGCTTATTTAAAAAGTTAAGATACATCGCCAAATATCGATCTTGAACTACGTCTGGGTTCCATAATAATGCAGTTCAATGACCGAGTGCTTGGACACTTCATGTGACCTTGTTGGCTACAGAAACTAGTCAAACGAAGTAAGAACTAATACGTACGTAGGCTTAAAATTACTAATTTTATATTCTTATTATTTAAATGGGTTAAATACTGAAACAGTAAGCAATAAAGAAATATTTATCAATGATAATAGTTTAGTACCCAAGTATGTACTACTGTGGATATTTACCGGTAAAATTGAACATGAAAATTATGGACTTTAAAAGAACTACATGTACCTACAATCATTAGTATACAGTGTTCAATGATATTGACTTACCATGTCCACGGTGACCTCTCCAACTTTAGTGCTGCCATGTTTCTTACGGAACTCCCTGATCTTTTCCTGTTCTTTGGGGATCTTTTCTTGCAGAATGCTCTTGAGGTTGGTGGACTCGGCACTCAAACCTCGCAGCAGAATCGATGCCGTTGGGCATACTTTCTATTTAGACAAAGAAAATAAAATTTTAACGTAACTTACGAAATACTTTTAATTTAGTGTACATAAATTTGTTATATCGGACTGTAGTGGGACTTTGTACCTTTGTATTTGACGTCAAGGATTTATAGCAGTAGCCAACTGTATACAATTCAAGTGTAGTTTACAACAAGTTTAACGAATAAGACGCTTCAAGGCGATCTCTTGCATGTAAAATATCATTAACCTCCATTAGATTAGAAGTCACGTTACACATAAATGTGACCATTCATAAATACATGCCACGGTAATTGAAAATAATATGTGAAAATTATCACTGGCTACTATAAACGTAGATCTAAATAGGAAATCATTTAAAACATTCGAAAGAGTGACTTCCCAAAAATATTACAAGTGTAACCTAATAAAGGGGGTCTTTTACGTGCAAGAATGTTTAACTTTCCAACAACCGAATAACCAAGAACGGTAACGCATAATAATACGTTGACAGAAAGTCCACGTATTTTTATTACAACTATGCCGAATGGGATATTTAAATCGGCAACAAATAACATGAAATGCCGTTCAAAGTATGAAAAAGCCTAGTAAAGGAAGTTCTTGTTTACAAATAATTCGATGAGCTCAATCATAGCGGCAGCGTTTCAATCAATATAAGAACGTCGACAGGTCAGCGCGGGCCAAAGTTTAACCTGATTGACATTATAAATCACATTTACGTCTTTAAAACCCTTCACACACAGAATAAGTCATTGATACTGTCAATACAATCGATTATGTCATTAGGAGTGGAATAATTCGTTTGTTATTTCTTAATTAATTAGTGCATCGCTACGTTTAAAGACTTTAACAACAGTTTAGTTTGAGTACATTTTATAGTATATGTATAATTTAACACCGAGGTTTGATTTTGGAACACTAGAAAAAATAAGATAATAATACTTTTGTACGTGTTCCCATTCAGCATACAAGTTAACAAAAATACTTATGTACTTGTCGCTAATACCAAAAGAATGGAATGCTTTTAATGAGTCCACCTGTAAACAGCTTGTAAAAAACATCGGTTTCAGTGACGAATAAGACACCAGAATGCGGGCATCCCTATTGTCGCGTTTATAATCCACGACTAACGAGGGCACGGCGCATGCTCGGTGAGGTCAGCAGAAATAAGGCCATTTATTTACTTGAATAAAAGTCACTAGTCAAGTAGTTACTAGCCATTTTCCTCCAAGAAAGAAATCCTGCCTGAACAATATAAGGAAAGTGACATTTAATGCAAATCGGAACCGACGAGGTTATTTTAATTAAGTAAGGAAAAATCCAAGGCCTCTTTAACTTCTAGCTAAATGAACAACTTCTTAAAAACCATTATAATGTTATTAAATTGATATAACCCACATTTCAAATGCAAATGTAATCTGATGATCTGTTATTAAGTCATCAGGTTTGATAGTTATTCTAAAGCAAACATTGCAGTATCTATTTTTAAGACAATGAGTTACTGCACGTGTATCGCTTTAGAATAGCTCTGTCAGACGAGACCCCATTCCTTTCAGGTATACGAACGAGTATACAACGCATGTAGTGCATGAAATCAGGACCAAAATATAAAATTTCAGTGGTTGTGTTTCATATTCTAAAATGGAATACAGACTCTACTCACATAATCAATCTATACTAATATTATAAAGAGGTAAAATTTGTAAGTTTGTATGTAGGGGGTAATCTTTGGAACCGCTCGCTGGTCAGATTGCCAAAATTCTTTCACTTATAGATAGCTACAATGTTCCTGTGTGTTATAGGCTATAAAACATCACGCTACGAACAAATCGAGCCGAGCAGCGAGTGAAACCGCGTGAGAGTAGCTAGTTAGTTTATAATTTTGTATTGGCAAAAATAATATAATCCACGATAATAGGTACCCATCAAATCAATTCATATCGAGAAGGTAATCATTACATCAAAACATTAATTTTTGGATCCATCCGTCAAATTATTAAAATTAGCTTTATTCTGAAATAATTTCGCGAATGTTCTATGACTCAAAATAACAAGCAGTTTGAATTTTGAGCTCTTTATACCCCGGATATCTAATATGTATGTATATGATTTGTCGCCCAAATAAGGCAGTGTCGTAGTGTCGCAAATGACGGCGTCTCGGCTTTAATAGTGCTTTCAAAAAGATCTTAGTACGAAGTTACGAACGACCTATACTCGTTTTTTTAGTACTTTATTCCGTAGAAACAACTCGGTTCGTCGCTAAGTTAGGTTCACCGCACCGTTTAAATCCTTCTCAAACAAAGTCGAGAATTGTAAAACATTGAAATAAACGTTGTGTTAAAATATTCCACGCTACTACTTCAAGGTCAACGGTCTAATAAAATTTGACGCTGGAAATTATGGTGTAGTATAGCGTAGTGAAGGTGTTATGTTAGTTTATCAATAATTTACAGTTTTAAACTATTTTTTACATTTTTGAACTGTTGATCAGTTCAACTCTTAACGGAGCGTAGTGTTGATGAAAATGTAAAACATACCGGACAGTTTAACAAATAATGAAAGAAATTTACTTTTTATCTTTCTATACTCAACTCGAAGAATTAAGAAATTAAGCCTGCTTCAAATTTATTATTCAAAGAGTATCGCGCCTTTATTGAAACGAAAAAGCAAACAAAAAATGACCGTCCTCTGCTAAATGTAGCACGTCACGTCTACGACAGACGCGGCGAAGAGCTTCTGAAAACAGAAATATCAACGGACAGCGATGTTGATGTTTGGGAATGAAAATCAAAACACGCAATCATAAGATATTGTGTTTTCAAATTCATCTGTGGTACTATACTTCTCGCCTTCTTGCGTAACTTATGTACTAGTTTTACGCTACTAATAAAGGCTACAAGTGCTGCGTCATAAAAAGTACCTACGTAATGTCAAAAAGTATCTGAATACAAGTATTCCTATAGAATTTTTACCTAGCAACAGAAAGATACAAAACGGAAACGGGTTTTAGTCATAAAAACTTCGAAAAATACGGTATATTGTTAAGTTTTTGTTAATACCAATCGTCACCCTTCGTCTTTACCTGCTCATAAATGGGCGAGTTTCTAAGTTTACGTAAATAAAATGGTTCCTTTGCAATGATTTAGGACTTCCTATCAGGTAGCAATTTTAGTCCGTCTGTTCGTCTGTTCTGTTTTCTGTTGATGGTTTCCTTGTCGACCTTTTCACTAAGAATTAATATTATAAAATCTACTTATTCAATCTGCTAACTCTAACAAAACTATATAAGAATATGTATATTGGGTCGGATGTTGTTCCGGGGGGCTTGTAGCTGGTTTCTTAAATCAGGTTTGAGCTGTTAAATATTTAATTACCACGCTTTAGAACTTACGAGGTGAGTTTTACATTAAAACTAAAAATAATCAAATTTAATTCAATCAATTCAGCCTTTTGTAGGCAGGTAGGTGGTTGATGATGTCATAATGTTGAATAAAATTTGGGCAGCAAGTAAAATAAACCAATATTCGTAACTAATTCGACGGTAAAAAAATTTTTAAAGAAAAATAGACTTCAAATTCAATCGTAGCTTGGGTGGTTAAGTTCAGAGTACGGACTAATCTATCTAAATATATGAGTGTTTAGATCCTATGGATCATCGATCCGTACTGTAAGGTCAAATAGCCGCTGTTATCTAAGTTTAACCTTCCGCGTTGTAGGCTCGAAATGACCGCAATGTGGTAATTATTTTGTTTATACATTTAAGTACTTATCTACTAGTTCATATTTATATTATTACGTTGCCATACAGTATTTTTGCAGTTCCGCACTGATTTGTTAACATGCACGTGTATTTATTACGATAGTGCACACTTGGAAGTCATTAATGACTACAATACTACAATTACTGCTTTGTAATACACTTTGTCATAAATGGAGTCTGTTTTATACAGTTGATAGTGGGACACTTATTTAACGATGTAAGTTGGGAGCTAAATGGCTGCTATACGAGGTGTGTTTTATATTTCCTTGTTTCAGTTCTAGTATCTACAAATAAACACTGTTGAAAGAGGCAAAGTTCATAATAATTTATACTGACGTCCTATCCTGCAGATAGATAAGATTGCAGATAAATCTTATCACTAACCAAGAAGCACTAATTTCATAACAACTTGTTCTACATTGTACTTGTTCTAAAGTGAGGTTACACGAAATATAAAATAACTTCAGCTCAGTAACTTTGTGTTGTGTTTTATAGCTTTATTTGTCGATTTGTTTTATCAAGTAAACGCCATTTATTTTTTCAAATTCATTCTCTATTGATAAATTCCCGATTTTGTAATATTCTAGTCGTTACATAAAGTTAGGGCACACGCAAATATAATATCACAATGTTTTCCTTTATATTAAATCGGTACGAATTGATGATTTGTTCAAAGTCAGTGTGCAGCTTGTAACTATAGTTTTTGCTATATCACTGGAAGCCATAGCTCAACGCAACCTTGAACATGTGCGTCACAAGCTAACCGCGTTCTTCACTAGTTTTTTTTTTAGATCCGTGTTACTCCCATGTATTTTGTTTTCGTTTATTTCCAAATTATAATAGTTTCTTTTCTTCTATATTATTATATACTAGTGTACTGCAAAGCGCAGGGTATAGCGACATGTGCCTATAATAATCGTGAGCATTTGGGCGTGTGCCCGATGCAAACGTGAGTTGACCTGCGTGGTTATCTTTAGAGTTGGGGCATAGCAGAGGACACATATCGTGAATGTCATTGCGAGGATTTCTGCTACATAGTTTACTGATAACGATATCATGTCACGATACCGTTAATCAATACGAGAATAATGTGTTCCGGTCGCTGGATGGTGTTAACATAATATTTCAATAGGCGGCCAAACGAATTCACGGACCGCCTGCCTAGTTATGTAAAACTGACTCGTGTAGAACAATAGGTATGTCACCTGACTTTGTGAGGTAGTGTTATTCTCGATTATGTCATGGAATTACGAATATGCTATCTCGTACCGGTTTGACGTGTGTGACGTGTGCTCGCTCAATGAGCGGCTCGTGATAACACTAGCGTTAAAATTCACATTTTCAGTAATATAATGGTAGTGCCCCCACGTGATCGGGAGGCGCTGATTCAAGCGCTTTGCAAGCTAGTGACATCGGTTATCACGCCAACAAGCGCCACCGTGCGTGACACTGACATAGATTGACCAAGGCCATTGCCACTGCCACATACTTTGTGCAAATCTCACATGACTTCATTCATTCCCCATAAGGAATCAATCATTGCAGTTGAAGAATTGAATACAATATCAAAAACTGTCATAATGTTTTTAAGATAAGATTGTCGATATTTATCTATTTAACAGGATATTCATTATAATAATCTTGACACTTAAACCTGAAGCTATTTAGTAGTTAGTAGATACAAAAATACATTATGTAACTACAGACACAACAAGGTGATAATATGCAAGTCAGGTAATGTTATACAGAAGTTAGAAAAGTTTAATACGTGCGAAATATACAACTATGGTATCATTAAAAAAGTTAATGAGATTAAAAATTTTTGATAAGTCAAAATGATTAAGAAGTAGTTAACTATTTAATTATAAACATTTATAATCTTTGTCAAAGTAGGTATGTAATCCAATTTATTGTAGGCATAGGAATACAATTTATAAAACGTGTACATAACAAGAAATGAGCACCCAACGTAAATTTCATAATAGGTATTAAAATTCTCTAAACACACTAGATTTACACCTACGTAATTTCATTTAAATTCAAAATTCAACGAGTAGTCATTGACTTTATAAATAACTAAAAATCATTGACAATATCTAAAATATTGAAATGCGCGTAGCATGTGATTTTTACTGAAGATACGTATTCGAAAGGTCGTTCAATAAACATATTAAGATCTCAATAGTTTTATAGGAATAATAACGTAACTGTTTACGAGATCATTTTATGAAATAATCAAGAAATCACAAGCATTTTATTGCTATTACTGCACGAATGAAAGACCACTGGGATTTCCCGCTGCAAAATCTATGCCCTTTGGCAGTAGGTACACCGGTCACGACATAAATATCACATAATCTGAAAAGGCTTTGATAAACCCCTGCAAAACATTACGATCAATTGCTACTTCAGGGGACGGTATATCTACAATTATTCCCAAAATAGTTTTTATTCACATTACATAACTACGAACCCAAAATGTGGACAAGAAGGTTATAAAAAGTACACAAAAATACAACATGAAAGAACATTGCTATCAAATGTTTATATAAAAAGTATGATAAAATAATATAATCAGTATTTACCTGTATTTCTGCCAATTTAGTTGATGTAATCCTGAAAAGAGCCATTTTTCAAACCCACCGAGCGCTTGCTACCACAGACAACTACACCTTGCTCGCGATCGATCGCATTCGCAAGTGGAAGGAATGTTGGCTGACTTGGCTTGACTACCTGCTACTCGTTGACGTTAACTGTCATAAAATTAGTTCACTAGTGATGTATGTTTAGTATTATTGAATAAGATTTACTATTATTAATAAATGGTTACATTACTTATTTACTTTTAAACTGAATTCGGCATGGTAAATAATATAAAAAATTGTTTACCATTTATATAACAATATTAAGTTAAATTAAACAGTGAGGTTGCTTGACATAATATTTTTTCTTTTATCAATGGGGGACTGTAGGCATTACTAAATTTTTTTTATTATATTAGTAGTTAGTAACACTCTTTTTACAAATCATTTCATTTTTATAAAGAAAATAGGTAACCATCATATCACATCACTAATGAATAATTTAATTTGTAACTTGCAGTGGCACTTATTTATCGTTTGTTCGTAAATATATCAAGTCGGTACCGGTGGTCCACCAGTAAAATAAAAATTGATTTTATTTTATGATATATGATTTAATTAACTCATAGCCAAAAGAAAATGCGGTTCATCACATTATCTTGTTTGTTATTGGTATTGTGTTACGCGGTTAATGGAGGGAAACATTTTAAACTTGGTAGAAGCAAAGGGGGTAATTTAGGAGCACCGGGAGGATATAAAGGCGAGCCGCTGCCTCCAGCGCAATGGTTTAAACAAAAATTAGATCATTCAAGCCCTTCTGATTTGAGAACATGGAAACAGGTAAACTTTTATTTGTTATATCAACTATTAGCTAGCGAGTAAGCTACTGAAGACTATATTTCCTACTTGTTCATTTTAGGTACAGTAGGTTATTATTATCATGATATTTGTGATCATTGACCTTAAAACGTTACATATGTTCAATTGTTTCGAAGTAAATAACATGTATTTTTAACAATTTCTTACAACAATTTATTTTTTCATAAAACGGACGTTACTGTTTAAAATCGTTATGATCAACCTGTAACTGACCCACTGCAAGATAAAGGCCACTTTTCATAATACTAAGCAGTTATTTATATTTCATCATCTATCTCCGTTAACCACCTCTCTATTGATGAGAAGAAAATGTATTTGTTCTGTTATTATATTTCAGCGTTATTTTGTAAATGATAGTTTCTACGACTTCAATAACCAAGGACCAGTGTTCCTGATGATTGGGGGTGAAGGACCAGCAGATGCGAGGTGGATGGTCAAAGGGGCTTGGATTGATTATGCTCAAAAGTTCAAAGCACTTTGCATCAATCTTGAACACCGCTACTATGGGGAGAGCCATCCTACAGAGTAAAATTTGTTCATACTTTCATGTGGCTTAACAAATTAAGTAACAACATCTAACTGGAACTATTTATTATTTCAAATTTGCAGAGACATCAGTGTTAAAAACTTACAATACTTGTCATCATACCAAGCTCTGGCAGATTTAGCTAATTTCATTCAAGCAATGAATGATAAATACAAACTACACAGCAATGTCCGCTGGATAGCCTTTGGTGGCTCATACCCTGGTTCTTTGGCAGCCTGGCTGAGGCTCAAGTATCCACATCTTGTATATGCTGCAGTCTCCTCCAGTGGTCCTTTGTTGGCTAAAGTTAACTTCATGGGTATGAATTTTGTCCTGGTTTTATCTTTACAATTAAGTTTAAAAATACCTGAGTTTAATCCCTATTTTGCATTTTGTAAGTGCAGTGTGGATTCTCTACATAAAATTCAATGATTGTCTGCATTTATGCTTTGAAACAGAGTTTTCAAATAAGATGTGTTTTTTTTTTAAATTATATACAATTTCAGAATATTATGAGGTGGTTGTTGATGCTCTGCGTGAAAAAACTGGTGGAGAGGATTGTGTTGATGTACTGAAAATGGCACACAAGCAGATAACAACACTTATGAAAACTGACCCAAGCATTGTTGAAAAAGAATTCAGGTACAAGCTGTTAATATATACTTTGAGCAAGTACTGTGCAAACATTGGCCACATTATTTATTCTTTGTTACAGAGTTTGCAAACCATTCTCTAGTGCTTCAACAAATGATATTAAGAATTTCTATAATTCAATTGCTGATGACTTTGCTGATTTGGTCCAATATAATGAAGACAACAGGATCAGTGCAGATGTAAAATACAGGAATCTCACTATCAATACAGTAAGGACATACTTAATGTTACAGTTACAGTTGGCAGATAAAATGTAATATATCCTGGTTAATATAATTTACCTTGTCATTTTATATGTTTCAATTTTGATAGCAATATACTTTTGATTTGTAATGAATTTAGGCCTAATTATAAAATAAAGATTAAAAAAATAAGGATTTATAAATACAAACAATTTCTAGGTGTGTAATATGTTTCTGTCTCCTGGGGCACAACCTGCATACAAAAAACTAGCAGCTTTTAATTCTATTATTCTGGAAAAAACCAATCAAACCTGTTTGGACTACAGCTATGATAATATGATAAAAGAATTGAGGAATATGACTTGGGGATCAGAAGGAGGTTTGTTGAGTTATTGCTATTTTGTTCAATGACTGTTTATAGCGTAATATTATAATTAGTGTATTATTTAGTTTTTATGATTGTTAAAATGTCTGGGTATTACGTTACAGCACGACAGTGGATGTATCAAACTTGCACAGAATTTGGATTTTACCAAACTTCCTCAGGGGAGATTGAAGTGTTTGGTAATGACTTTACACTTGATTTCTTTATACAACAATGTGAAGACATATTTGGGAAAAAGTAAGTACAGAAACATATTTTGTAAACCCGTTACAAATTAAATACTTTTTATGAAAGCAGATTTAGTATATATTTTTCATGCACTGATAATATATTGTATTATACTATGCTTTAGGTACAATGCCGACTTTGTGAATGCAGCTGCGGCTTGGACTAACATCAATTATGGTGCTCTGGATATAGCCATCTCTCGAGTAGTATTTGTTCATGGCTCTGTAGACCCTTGGCATGCTTTAGGGATCACTAAAACTCAAGAAAATGATGCACCAGCCATATACATTAAAGGTAAATTGTTGCAATACTAATTTATCTACATTATTTATGTATTTTATAATATATTTCAGTACAGACTAGATAGTAAAAACATATTCGAAATGTCTTTGTTATCTTACCTCAATGTGTTATCATTGTTGCGTATGTTTGATGTTTATGTCTGTAGCTACAGAAACTAACAATATTGTTTTGTAAAAATACCGTTATGTGGTTATAATTCTTGTGCAAACTATTATTACTGTATTATTAGACAATTTTCCTTATAACTAAACTTGTTTAGGTAAAGAACGATATGTTTTTGTAATTTTAGAGCATTAATTCTTAAACTTTATAGTAACAATATTTTTATGTTCCAGGTACTGCACATTGTGCTAATATGTATCCGCGTAGTGAAAATGACTCCAGTGAATTAATTGAAGCCCGACTGGAGATTGAGCAGTATCTTGCTGGATGGGTAGGTCAGCTTTAATAAGCATTTCTCCCTTCCAAACTGAACAGAATATTAATATATATGTCAATCAAAGATCTACAATCTCTTTTGGAATTCGAAATGATTAAAAATAGTTACTGAACTGTTTATATACTTATTACTATGTCAAGCAAATATTTAAAAGAGGCAAAAATAATCAAAACCAGAATCTCTTAGTGAGTATTATGCCAAATCATTAGTTATTTAGATAGGTTATAGAGGCTAATATTTTACAGCCATATGTGCTCAATAATGTAGTTAAAGAGAGGAGAGAAAGCTGTGGTTATCCTGTTCAAAGCTGTGGTTATCCTGTTCTATCTCTAATAAATTACTTACTTATATTTTTTATACTGAGTTTTTAGGAGGACATAGTAATTATTTTTGTAATGACATTTTTAGAAAATGTTGTAGGTCTTCATAAAGCTGTCTGCTCGTCATGAGGCTAAGTCAAGTACCGTGAAAGAGAGAGAGACAATATTTCTGTTGCCCCTAAAACAAAAAATATTTAATGGGGATCCTACATAACAAACGTGAATTTGGTATATGTATCCAAAATATTTCATAGAGCAGTTAAACAATTGTGCATTAGAAAATCTTAAATTCACTTTTATTTGGCAATTAGACCTAATTATTTAGTAAAAGATTGCATGTAAAATACAGGTTTTATTAACGATAAAGAACAACGATTTCATGTAGCTTAACCTATAGGATACTAGAGTAAAAAATAAAATACCAGTAGCGTCTTAATTCCCGTATACGACTTACATCTAAAAATTCAGTGGTTTAATAAATATTCGATTTTGTATCCATAAAATGGATTGTAAGAATTATGTATAAAATACAATTTCTTTACAAGTTTTAAATTAGTTATCACAAAGAGAAATGCAATGCATTTTATTAATATTATCACTGAAAGTCATTCTTTATTTATAACATGTTGCACAAAATCAAAGCATCAAATTGCTATTTTATGAATGTTTTCCTTTTTAGTATACAATGTTTGTGCTCTATTCATTTTAGTCTTATTATTGTAATATCAGTCTATAAACTTTATACTGACCTTTGTTACACATCCATAATTGTAAAATGTATCTTTAATACCAACCTGTTATGTATAGTTCATAATGAAGTTCCTCAACAGTGATTTTGAAAAATATATCTATTATTAGAAAGTAAGTACTTAATATATGAATGTTTAAAACATTAAATATGGTTTTATTTTGTGTTATGATGATGTTGACATTCTTCTTTCTTCATCTGCCTCATACAGAGGTTCTAATGGTCTGCATTTCAACATAAGTTCCATAATACTGAAAGCAAATAACCCTTTATAAGCAACTTTGCTTTTGAGTAGTAAAGTGATATGTATGATATAAATGTAATTCTATGATAAGAATGTTGAAATTTATTACAACCCATAACTAGATACATATCAATGTCATCAAGCTAATAAGTTAGCTTTTTCTTAACTGGAATGTCAGATAGTTGACGATGTTTAAAAAACATACTTACAATGTTAACGAAAAAACGACGACTTGTGTTGAAATAGTGAGGTAGAATATAGAATTCACAAATTCCGTGTCTAATGTTGCTTTGTACAATTGTGAATATATAATTGACGCAAACATCGCTACTGCATTCTCCATCACTGATAGGAAAGCGTACGCCACCCCTGAGAAAATAAAAGTTTGAGATATAATTTTTTTTAAGCTTTAATAATCCATATCATAATGATATGTATTATTAAAGCTTAAAAGTTCATGGAAGTTTCAGTTAGTAAGTGTATTTTCGCAATGATCGCAATAGCAGAGCGGTCAGGCATTGAAATAGAGTGGTTCCAAGCCGTATTTTCTTTAAAAATACATGTGTTCCGCATGGTATCGCCTATCATCAGCACATAGGTACGGATCTCGCAACGTTACTCTATATGATGACTGGCTAATGTGAATAGGAGCAATTTGGAGTCATATTGTCCCACATAGGTTTGGAGAGATACCACATAAATGTTGGGCGATGTCTTCGCGACATTATCTATATATATATTTCTTAGTAAAATGCGGCTTCATGTGTAATAGAATCGCTTAATAGACGTAGCTCGGATTAACTCTTGATGAGGTGAGCCTATTTGTTTGTGAGTGCAATCACAAAGTAGAGCTTCAATTTACAGCAGAGGAGAAGTTCTAGCAGGTAAGACATCGTCATTGGGAGTCGGAAGACGTTCACTGCTGAATAGAGGCGCAGCCTTAAGATCACAGACAATATAGACTGCTGTGCTGTCTGTTTCTTACTGTTGGTCGCAGTTATAGGACAATCAGACTTCAAAAATAGGGCCCTGGTAACAGGCTCATATTAACCTCATACATGTTTTAAACTTTTGGTTACAAACTATAATCTGTGGCCTTTAAGTTCAAAAATACTTTGTATTAAGCAAACCTCTTTCAGAAGCGGGCAGAACCTTGGAAGTCATGGACCGTATAAGGGGCGCAACGCAAGGGCCAAATGCAGCGAAGGTAGCACCTAGGTACCACAGCTTATCTACTTTCGCATGAGCATAGACCAAGTGTCCACAAATATGCGCTGATGCACCCAACATCACTATCACCTGTAACAAAAAATGTCAAGAAGTATGTGGAAACTAATAAATATTTTAAATCCTTACATGATAAGGAATACAAGGCTTTTCAATAGAATGTTTAAAATAAAACATTTCCCATAGTAAGCAATCCGTGCCGGCCATAGACACTCACAACACCAAAGAACTTGGACTGCACGGTTGGAGCGGTGGCTGGGCAACTGGCTGCCGCGCAACGTGTCGCGGGTTCGATTCCCGCACGGAACAACTCTTTGTGTGATCCACAGATTGTTGTTCCGGGTCTGGGTGTGATGTGCATGTGAAATTGTATGTTTGTAAACGCACCCACGACACAGGAGAAAATCCTAGTGTGGGGCAACGTTTTTTATAAAAAAAAAAAAAAAAACTTACAGGTGTATTACCGGCCTTTTATTGTTACGGATTTGTGGATTTGGGAAATAGGGGAAAAGGATCATACATATAGGCATAGCTTTTTACTCAGAACTGTCACTAAAATGATTCTTCTGGTAGTGTAGGTAAGTAGGCTAGTAAAGTACTTCCGAGAGCATGATGCTTTAGGATGTAAGGAGTAGGATTTTATTAGGTCAGAGTGTACTATGGTGAAGTGAAAAGATTTTTAAAATCCAAGATGATTTTGGTTACCTTTTTTCATACCCGGTGCGTGTTCGCATTTTAGCTATGTTCAAGAATTACTATAGATTAAATCAGCTATAAAAAATGATGCTAACAAGACGAAAAGTCATTGTATACATTTTGTAGTACCTAGATACACAAAACGATGATGTCATCAATTCTTAATATCTTTGTAAATACAAGCGTCCTGGATACAGCTATTATTATATCAACATCTATAGAAAGTATACCTAAACAGAAGACTTGCGGTATCATCATTAATCTATAGCTGCAGTAAATAAAACTAAATTGTAGATATTGTGCAAAGACATTGCATCTATTTCAACTATAATAAAAGGAAACTAACTGTGTCTCTCCAACGCAGTACTTTCGTCATTAGAGGTATACCAAACAGCATAGCTATCACATACAGGGTGCTTAAATATGTTCTAAAGTTACTAAACGATGTGGTGTCCCATTGAAATACTTTTATAGTGTATAAATACATCACAGACCGTTCATCTGTAACAAATAACACATCATTACAATAAATCACGTTTGATTAGAACAAACTGTTTTACATTAAGCTGAGACAAATTGTTATAAATATGATTCACCGTCATGTATCTGTTTGTTGCGTAATACATTTCTGGGCCTACAAGTAAGATAATAATAAGCTGGTAATAGAAGTTAACATGGTATGTATAATTATATCTTTACATATATGGTAAACAAAATATTGCGTAACTTATTTCTGTAACAACATGTTCTTCAATCGATGGATCGCATAATAAATTGCCTGGTGTTGTGTGGCTACGAGTGTATGTGGCTATATTGTTATTTGAATTTTGTCTCTATATTATACTTAATAATATGATTTTCTAAACAATCGACGACGCTCTAAATCGACATTGCTAACGAAAAGCAATAGGTATAAAAGAAGTAGGTTTCCCCTACAAATCATAATTAATACATTTTGAGATGACATACTATCGAAAGTTGAACTTACCTCTTTGGAAAGTATAAAATGCCATAGATATTAATAGGAACCATAGGAACAGCCTTCGATTATTAGGCCGTCTCTGTGTGAGTATCGACACAGTTTGCACAATGTTCTTGACATCAAAGAAGTCTGTTACTGGGTTTTTCACGCCGGCTTCAGCTAAAGACTTTTGTTCTGGTCTCGTCTGCCATTTCAGGAATATAATACAGTATAGCGTCGCTAAGACCATTAGTGACGTATTAATTGCAAACATGATCGTAAAGGATCGGTTGACCACTTTGTTCCATAGCAAATTACCTGAAAACAATAATGTTTGGTATCAGTTGCCAGAAAACTTTCTATGTTTTGTAAACTTTTCTTTTTAATCGCTGTTTTGAGTTCAGAACTTGAGTCTAGATGGTTAATGCAACTGGTAAATGCTATTGTTGTATATCCTCAAGTCACACCTAGTAGTTTTTTTTACTTAATCTTCATGCCACATAATGTTACATAGGAGGACCTGTCATAGGCATTTTTATCAATCAACCTTTGTGTGAGATAGAGAAAGTATGGTAGGTGACATAAAGAAGCAAACTTAGAATGCTTTAAATATGTAGTTGTTAACAGCATATCGTGTTCTTTGTGTACATAAACATGATGAACACGATAGTGTTATATGTGATGGTATAATAAAAGTTTAGATAAGTCTTCATATCAATGCTTTCTCGGAGTCTATCATAATAAACGAACCTATAAATGGAAAATGGCTGCAACTCTTAAAAAATAATTACATAACTTTATGCTTACCAATAGCTACTCCGGTAGGCATCGTGCTCAAGTAAACTACGTCTAATATGCCAACCCTTAATGTTCTGTTTTTTAATGACGATACGTCAGCAATGTAGGCGAAGCAGCCAGCAAATATTGCCAAGTCAGCACCGGTTAGGGCACTCGGAAGTGCTGCGGTGTATATCACATATTCCACGGGCCATGCTGAAATGAAAGAGACAATAGTTCATTATTTTTAATACCAATATTCTTAGTACAGTTGAGTTGACCTTCGCAATCTTCGATGAAGAATATAATACTTAATATGGATTTTGGTCTTATAAATTAGAGCTTAGCTTAGATCATTTTTGTATTAAGTATTTCATATGACGTTAACGATAATACTTCACAAATCATGATTTAAGTAAATATGGAAAGATAATCATGGATGATGGAAATCACTGAGTTAGAAAACGATTTACAAGCACAAAGAGAAAAACATGACGTAAATGATTGTATCTATTTGGCCTACTTGCACTCTTGTACACGATTGACGACTTTATTGCAGTTTGTTAAAGATATTTTCCGCGGATCAAGATGCATAGGTACCTAATTATGTTGCGACATTTTATTATATCGGTAGCTAATGATGACGTAAAATCGTTAAACAGGTTTTTAGTCAGTAAGTCTAAAAATCCCGGACTCGGGCCGGAAGAAAATTTTTATGATTTTCCCCTTCATTAATTCCCTAAATAATGAAGTACGAATTTGCTACAAGAGACGTCCACAAGGGGATCTACATATCATTACATCTCTTCCTCAAGTCTCATGGATTTTAAAGTATTTTTGAAAGCATTTCTACCATGTAGAGGTGCACGAATTTTGACAAGATACCGTATAAAGTAGTTTCAATTATTAGGCTATTGATTCCTTAGTCATTAGAATTAATTTAAAGCATTGTGCTGGCGATACAGCAGAAAGAACGAGTACTATATTGTTTTAACAGCATTTGTTTTCACAATTGAACGGAAATGCACAAAGTCAACAATTTCATACAATACGTTACGAAGTTATTTTCCGCATTCGTGTAATACTACTTTTATAAAGACCTTGACTTGTCAAACAATCAGTATGATGGACGTATCACAGAGTATCTATTTGGGCATAATATGGTTCGAGTACTATGTATTTAGATACGCGAGTGTACGAGTCATGAAGTCATTTATCTTATTGATAAAAAAAATTATAAGTTTCGAATGTTGAACAGCAGGTCATAATGTATTGAACTTTGAATAATCTGTTTTGGTAACTTTAGATCTCATGAAAACATCAAAAGGCTACAATAATTGTGATTAAAAGAAGGATTATCATAAAGCCTTTTCTTTTTTCTTTATAAATTTTTAGTTCGTTTACTTATGCTAAATAGATAGTTTAAAAATGTTTGAGTACTCTTCTCTATCTAATATTTTCACGAAGATTTCAATAGCTGAGAAAGTACTTATAATTTTAAATAAATGGTTAGCAGCGATAGCTACAATAAGACAGAAAAAAGACGATAAAGATTTACAGACTTCTTTAACTGATAAAAGTTTTTATGAGATCACCTTATGCAATGCGAAAAACGAGTCAGTTGATGGCTGTATTGAGAAACTCGGTACAAAGAAGCAAAAGTCGAATATATCAGCAGGCAATTGAAATATTGAATACTCATTTGGACCACATAGGCAATGGACGTGACAGAACCGATTCAATTAATCTATTCTGTGATTGACCCCATTGGCCTTCGTAGTTAACATTGAAGGTCACGTTTCAGTGAACAAAAAGATATAATTGGGTGTAGGTTTTCTTTTTGTCAGGGGAAAATCATGAAATGGCTTTCCCCACCCAGAGTTTGGCGAGAGATAGAGTCAGACTCTTACTGACTAAATCTCCCCCTTTTCTTGATCTAGGCCGATTCCGCGGTGCCTCATCGCGCTTACCCCGCAACCCCGGCTAAACATCAGCCCTATAGGGCCCCGTCTGTGGTGGTCTATTGGCTCTTTGAAGCGCGCGTGGAGCGCTACGAGCCTTACGCTCGGGAATTTTTTGTAGGTAGGTATGGAAAATAGACAGGATTCTTTACTTACCTTTTGCGGTATTTAATGTGATCATCGCTGAGAAATATAGCTTTCCGAGAAGGCCGGCGAGTAGAATTACTTTTCGGCCTCGTTTATCGCTGTACGACCCTAAGAAAAAGGCAAGTAGAAGAGGCACGACGTGACCAGCGACGCCGTTCCATTGATGGAATGTTGATACTGTTAGCTGTAAATGCAACAAAAAGCCAAAGATAAATCATCACATTTTATTTGTGCGATGCATTGCTAAATATTTGACATGCCACTAGTATGTTATTCTGAGAATGGACATAAGTAGGTACAGGTGCAGTCAAAGTTAGCTGCTATAGGTAGGTACTCGTTCGATTTATTACGTTTTCTTTTATTTTTCACTTAATGGAATTTCTTCACGGAGTCCTAGCAATAACGCTCCTGTTATTATTCTGTAAATTAAATTAATTTATCAGAACAGCATAACCTTTTTATCGTTATTTCTGCAAGCTTTTGCCCGCGACTCCGTTTGCGTGGAATCGTGACCTCCTGCAGATTTAGGGTACAAAAACTATCCTATCTTCTTTCTCGAGTTCATGTCTGTACCAAATTTCACAGAAATCGATTCAGTTGTTTAGGCGTGAAGAAAAGACTGACAGACAGACTGAGTTACTTTCGCATTTATAATATTCGTTTGGATTAAATATGTTATCAACTGAAACACAAAACAAGAAGACTTGTGTAGGTAATTCTTGTATTACATCGTTATCGACTACTTAATAGGAAGTTAATTTGAAATTAACAGTATAGGTATGTCCTTAAGTTAGTGCTTAAGTTTCTAGTCATAAAGACCATTCTTCAAGGTCCATTCTTTCTTATCACGTCGAGAGATTTGAAGAGAAATTTTATTCTCAAGACTGACAGAACTTAATTACTTACCCAGACTTTTATTACAGATTTAGCTCGCGGTCATGCTCGGCAAATATGAACTATTGTTGATTTTGTAGCTTGTAAAATCTTTTTGATAATGTTTTTAGTTCCAGTTACGTAATTGTAATATATCTACCTAACACCGTTATTAAACACTACATTACTTACTTTCCGTACAAAAGAAGGGTTGGATATCGAAGTTCAAGTTCATCATCATTGAACGCTATTGCTAGGCTGTTGTTGTAGTGTAAAGAGTTATTTTCCATAAATGTTCAATAAAGGAAAATAAGCGACAAAACGCTCCGTTCTCTCGTTTTCCGTCCACACACGGGCCGAAGATAATATGTATTTTTTTATGATCAATGATTAACCATTTATAGCCTCGTTGGTCGAACAAAAGCTATCGCGTCTACTGAGTATGGAGTCTCCAGTCTGATCCTGGGATTGAGCACAGCATTACTTTAACTTCTGTTCGTGCTATGTATGCATATGGTATGCATTAACAAAAAACAACACGAAATATCTAATCTTTATTGCATAAGCAAACAAATTTAAGTTTAAAAGATTGTATTAATAAGACAAAAACAAATCATTTTTGTATAACAAATATTCCCAACTGGACAGGGCTGCTGTTGCAATACTGGGATCTTAATGATCTCTTGAAGGAGAACTTGTAAAATAGTTCCCTTACACATACCATGTACCATACAATCAACATTCACAACATAAAATCAACATTTTACATTAACAACAGAAAGTTTGTTGAATATAGTAACAACTTCTTGTGACCCAGAAAAGAAAATAGAACTGACCTGTACTTCTTTATTAATATCACTATAGCTACTGATGTTGTAGCATATCTCCGGACTATACCCATGGTTCACGGTACAAGCTTGGAACACATAGAATGTTTGTTCTATAACATTAGTGATCATATATGCCATCATGTAAAGGAACATTGGAGGTTCTACTGTTATATATTTGTACCATGGTTTCTTCCTATTCACCTAAAATAAAATAAAAATTAGTAATCTGTAATTTTTTTAAGCTACTTTAGTATTTGAAATAGCTCTGAGTAGTTTTATAGTAATGATTCCTATGAATCTTTTCCATCATGAAATACTGTAAAAACATGTTGTAATATTTTTTTTCATCTCTGTAATTAATTATTGAGAGCATGACAAACTTAATTTCATGTGATGTTCATATTTAACAAACAGTAAGATTAAAATCACTTTATCTCAAGTGCTGCGATGAAATAAACAGTTGAATGTTATCTTTATTGGTATGAAATCTTTTTTAAAGTACCCTGAATGTTTTTATAATATATTTAAAACAGACTGTAAATTAAGTTTAGTTAAATAAAAGATTAGATTATAAATAATAAAAAATAAGATATTATTGGTTAATAATATCTTATTTTTATTTTTATTAAGTAATAAAAAATATTTTAAAAGACTGATGAAATGATGAAGAAAATGCATGATAGACAAAAATATTTTTATGACAACCTTGATACTGACCAACTATTTACCCAAAAGGTCAAGATATGAAGATAAGTTAACAACAAATATTAGTTTCATATGCCACACTCAAGTAAGATTTTGTTTATTCACAATTGCATCAAAGAGGTCTTATCGCAAAAGAACGGCATGCAACTACGGATAAAGACTGCACTATGCATGTTCACGGGTATTGGTTAAGTTTACCATTCTAAATATTAGCGTAAAAAAATATATGCAATATAGGTAATTAATAATTACATGCATTCGCTATAGCTTGCAATTAAATTTTGTCCCAATAACAATTTCTTTAAACATAAACAGTGAAAGTTAATAATTGTTACGAAATTACATCAAATAATTTAATGCTACATTTTTTGTATTCGCAAGCATTTTCTGGTTACATAACTTAGGTGCTTCGCGTTATGCTATTACGTACATAACATATAACTTTCAAATTTAAAACACATGCTAGCTAAATACAGTGTTTTTTGTTTACTTACCACACACATTTCGTCGTCTTTATTTATGGAAGACATGTTTAATTACTTAAACTTATACGTATCACACTACAGCATAAATATTCTTGTTTTATTTTTAATTAACTGTATGTATTGTACAAAACTAAAAAACTTTGTATTTATTTATCGACACATTTTTTACGTCGTTTTAAACACTTGCCGGTCGTACGCTACAACCTAACAGCAAACATTATTTTGCCGCGCCGCCAAAACAATGTGCCAGTGCCAGATGCAGAGATGAATTCTGACATGTTGTAGAATTTGGCAGCTGTCAATGTCACGTGTAGATGTTAAGGTTGCCAAACAGCAAAACGAAGAATATCAAATGTTTTTAAAAATATTAATTAAAATATAAATAACATTTTACACACTCAGAATACAAAATGTACACATTGAAGTTTGCTTGAAGTTTAGTTTTCGACGACACGAATTTGTCAGGAAATAGGAGGCTCTCCGTCCCCTACTGCCACTCTCAAGAAAATGCGACTTACAAACCGTAAGGAACCCAGATGTAAACTACCTATCTATTATAAATGGGGGATGGGGGTGCCTCAATAGTCCAGTCATTGTCATTAAAATGAATGTTTTCTAGGATTTTTGTTTTCTAGGTTTATAAAGTCAAAGTATTTTTACAGTGTGCACAGTAATAGCTAGAAATTCAACTTAGGTAGGTACCTACCTTGAGTAGTCACGCAGTTCCAAGATGCAGATTGCAGATAATTATATTATATTAGTAGGGGAGCCCATTAAGGAATTTCGGTAGTAACTCGAACGCGTCAGATTAACATATGGGGAATATTTAGTAACCTATTGAATATACCCATCATATTCTTAATTTAAACAGAGGAGGGGGGGGGGGGCTGCAGTATAAAAAATAACTAAATACAGTCGTTTTCGTCAAATTAGGGGTGGAAAAGGGAGATGTCATGTCAAAGAAAAGGTCGCGTATCGCGTTTAGAACAGCTATAGAGTTTTGAACGGGTCCCGTTTCTATCCCCTTAGGTAGCCAACTCCACCACGCAATTCGGCAGATTAAAATATTTTCACTGTCAGAGATACATGGAGAATATACATTATTAATATCTGTCACGCTCGTGCACTAAAACAAAAGTTACATCTTACAATTTTGGAAAACTATCATTCCCCCCTTCCCCCACCGGAGGAATAAAATGTCATTAAGCCATTTTTTCTTTCTATCACCAGATCTTCAGAATTCAGTTACTGCTTACGACGCTTGAGTAACTACAAATTTAGCATCCTGGGCTCCCCTACTATATCAACTACCTATTTTAAAGAAATGTTTGCAGGAAATGACTTAGAACAAAGGCCAAAATGCAAGTGTGCACCTGTAGGATTCTACCTAGATTCTACATATATAGCTACCTAATAAATAAACGAGTTCTTATAGCTCAATTTATTTAAATCGATGTTTACTTAATAAAATACTTCGCCAGGCAGCTTGTGGCGAGCTGTTAGGCAGTGGCGACCCTGTTTGGCGACCCCACGGACCTGTATCCCGGGGGTTGTCTTGTTCTTCATCTCAGGTTAGTTCTCGTGACTAACTGGAATGAACACTGATGAGAAACGAGTCCTCCTACCTCATTCTTGCCTTAATTGAGTGGAGATTCGCAAAAGTAGGAGTTGAAGGAGACTCGGGGGAAGGATGTATCTTAGTAAGATACTGGTACCTAGCGGTCTTGACTGTATTTTAGAGATTGCTCAGATAGTCGTGGGATGCCTCTCCTTCCCCACGCAGCTCAACGTTTGTTGCCCCCGTGTCGCTACATGCTCGTGGCCGTTTCGGCTGAGCACCGCCGTGCACCCAAGTGATTCGCAGAGGCGACTTCTCACGACCGGCCTTAGTCGAGGCCTTTGCGAGGAGCGAGAACAGTTAGGAACTCTTCTTTCAACGAAACAGTTATGCTCGTAAGCGCGGGTCTGCGGGGATGGCGAGCAAGGTTACCTAGCTCGGCTCCCGACCAGAATCAGATCCGAACGTAGGGCGCGTAGCATTTCACGCGCGAATCTACGTCAGAGTGTAGTATGTGGAATGATCAGCCGGAATAGCGAGCAAAGCGCAATAATGTACCGTAGCTTTGGCCTGGCATCGGAGCCGTCCGAATTGTTGACTGCCCTGTTATCTCGGACCGGCTGGACTCTTTGGCACTGCGTAGGGATGTAGCCTCGCTATGTATTCTCTATTGCAATTATGACGGGGAGTGTTCTGAGGAATTGTTTGGTTTGATCCCTGCCGCATCTTTGCGCCATCGTTCCACGCGAAAACTTTTTCATCCCCATGACATAGATGGTTGGCATTCAATAACTGCGGTTCACACGTAACTTTCTGCCCTTCGTACGATACGACCTCCAAACCTTCAAGAAACGAGCGTACTCCTTCTTAAAAGGCCGGCAACGGACCTGTGACGCCTCTGGTGTTGCAGGTGTCCACGGCCGGCGCCGATAGCTTACCATCAGGTAATCCGTCTGCTCGTTTGCCTCCTATTCCATAAAAACTGTATTGTAATTTACTGTGGAATTGATAGCTGTTCACAGAATACACTTACTCACCAAGTTTCAACAATATAGTCATCGTAGTTCCGAAAAAAATCACGGGTATTCTCTAAAAAGCTGCGAAAATAAATTAATTTACAATCAAAATAGAACAAACAGTTGAAGGTTTAGGTGCTTAGTCTGCTTGCGATAATGCGCCGTTTTTTTTTTGGTTTTTTTTTTATGGGATAATTTGTCAAACACGGCGAAACATCGTGCTGAAGCACGGCTCTCCCAACTTGGTGATCATGAAAAACGACGAATGAGTACTTAATTTGGTTTTTTATTTTCAACTTTTGTAAGTATTTTAAAATTAGCTAAATTTAGTATACTCTCTAACCGTTAAGTAATAGATACTGCATTCTGGTATATAGAAAAGTAGGTAAGGATTACTAACTATCGAGTTGTCACGACACTTTAACAGAAGCTTACAGCTTACAGTCTCTTTCTACAAGCCTGGCGTACACGGAATTTCTTTCCGTGTACGCCAGGCATCGAAACGGCATAGAAGCATGATTCATGTTAGAGTACTTTAACAATTGTTGATTTACTTGACTATATTCTCAGGCAAATTAATCTTTTTTGTGTCTTATTTGGGTAGTCGTAGGTGTACCTGCCTCTACCGAGCTAAAGCCGATTGCCCTGCCCGTGTATGTCAGACGTAGCTTTTCTATATTTTACAACCAGTTTTTCTATTCTTGGTCACAGTCTGGAGCTCATATCCAGAATATTACTAAGTGTGTACCTAATTGTTGAAGGGTACTTGTTTAACCACGTTACCACGCAGTTTTGGGACATATAGTACCTAATAATATTTTAAGCATCGGTCTGGATAGCTTAAAAAAACTGATGTTACAAGTATCGAGGTAGAGCACATGAGTACCATTTTTCTCTACTTAATTTGAGATAACACGTTTTAATGATTATTCAATTCATAAATCCCAATGTGCCACTGGTTTTTTTATGTTTGACAAGCAACTAATCAATTTTGTTGAATATTTTTTGTGTCTGAAGATAGTTTTGAGGCCGTTCGTGAATACCAAAGTTACTTTTATTTCTTTGAGAACGCGGACCAATCAGCGTGTAACAGATAGTTTGCTTTTGTTGTTTAGTTCTGCTAATTAGGTTGGCTGGACAGTAAGCACAGGTATTTTGTATTGACGACTTCGGTATCAGTATCAGGTATTGTAAGTTTCTAGTATCAATTAAATATACCTCCCTATTTAATTATTTACAATACATAAACCTTCATAGTTATATTTAACTGACTAGAATGAGAACAATGGACGTGTATATAACTTGACTTGATGCCTAGGTGTACTTACTTAAACTTACCAACATTTATTAATGCTTCTTATGCTATTTTTTTTACGATATACAATATGTGTATGTTCAAATTCATCACATGGTCTTCCCCGAAAACCTGTCTGCTTAAGTTACTTAAATGTTTATCATTAAATAGCTAACAGTAATATTCTCTAGTTCGTAAAAATTAATTATATTATAGTAGGTATTCATTGTCATACTGATGTCTTGTTTTTCGTAAAAAGAATAAATAAAAACGATTTCAATCCCAGTAAACAATGTAGACTAGCCTCTGGAGTACCTATGCCCGTAATTTGGTCAACTGTACAACAATATAATACCTACTGTCCGTGTAAAAAATTATGCAATCTGTTAAACATATACATATAACACATTAAATATTTCATAAGTTACACGAAACGTTCGGTAATGTTACAATCAAAGTTTGTCGTTGCCTGGCACTCTAAAACTTATGAATTAAAAGTAGCTTCATTTCATGTTAGATAATCTATCCCATATCACAGTCAGTATAAAGTGACGGTATACATTTTCACTAGGTTTAGATGGTTATTTTTCAAAAAACAATCTTAATTAGAGTCATATTTATTTCGGATAATATAACTGTTTTATACAAAAAAATAATTTACAGACAATATTTAATAAAAATAAAAACAAGTCAAATAAAATAAAGTTTAGAGGTATGAGGAACAGGGTGGAAAGTTCCTCATCCTCCATTGAAAAGGGAGGATCCTCCGACCAGGCGAGGTGTTCGTGCCTGGTGGGCTACTGCCCGACGGTTGTTGTCGGGATATCTGTATGGGTGCTAATTGTGTGGAAAACTCTTATAGCGCGATGTAGACTCTTGCACGTGATTGGTGCTGTTGTTAACAGTAGTGCGCTAGATGTCGCTACATCACTCCCCTCCGAGACCGGAGGTCGTTAGCAGGTTGAGTCGTCTGAATGTCTTGTCTTGTCGAGCCAGTTGATGGTACCAGTGCGTCGGAACTGATGCCGCTTAGTTCACGGTGAGTCGGAACTGTCTGCGGTGATGCCCCAGTGAGTCGGGGTGATGATGCATATTAGCTCCAGCGAGTCGGAGAGATGCATTGCTGCAGATGCCCCAGTGAGTCGGGATGATGCAGTGCTGAAGAGTGACTGGCTGCTGCGTCGACCAGGAGAGGGAGTACGTCTCTGCTTGCTGACCGGCCGGTGCAGTATGCTGTGCCGAAGTCGCTGATGAGGCTGTAGGTGCTGACCAGGAATGCGCGTCGGCTGCATGCTGGTGGTCAGGGAACCCGTTGTAGCCGTGGAAGCTGGCTGACAGTAGACTCGCTGCTTGAAAGCTCGAGGAAGTGATGACGTCATGGCTATGAAGTAGTTGAACGAAGGCTGCATTGATGTTCATGCTCGGGGTCACCAGTTTAGAGGTATGAGGAACAGGGTGGAAAGTTCCTCATCCTCCATTGAAAAGGGAGGATCCTCCGACCAGGCGAGGTGTTCGTGCCTGGTGGGCTACTGCCCGACGGTTGTTGTCGGGATATCTGTATGGGTGCTAATTGTGTGGAAAACTCTTATAGCGCGATGTAGACTCTTGCACGTGATTGGTGCTGTTGTTAACAGTAGTGCGCTAGATGTCGCTACAAAAGAATAAATTAACACTGGGAAGTTTTATTAACCCAATTACATTTTAGTCTGTGTAAAGACTTAGGTATTCCGTACCTCGGTATGATAATGGGGTGCTTTGCTTAAGTAACAAACATTCTTATTTATAAATAGATAAAACTCACATTGAAGTATACATAAGTATTCGTGATAGAACGGAGTAGACGTCGTCTAAGGAATTAGTGGTAGGAAATAGTAAATGTTCTAATGTTTCCTTATTCGCTGTACAACATATGCTGGGTAGTAACAGCATAACTTTCCCGAACCGCGTGGAATCTTTGGCTGCACAATGTTTCTGTAATAACATCAAGAACTGATCTTGCAGCATCTCCATGTGCGCTGATGGACTTTCCGTAGAGTCTGTGACAATTTGTAAAAGTGTGTGTTATAAATCATGATAGTTACTATTAATTTATTTCTAAGATAGAATGATGTAGATGAGAATTTATCGATTCGAACATCACAGTTAGATATAGAGTTGTAATAAGTGCTATCATTAGGCCACGGTCTGACCCTTCCATTCAAGAATTACTTAAATATGTAGTATGCTTATTTTGAATGTGACATGATAAACTAAATGGTGATATTTTACATTCTGTGATGCACAGCCTTAAATGCGTGCGCATAAATAAGTACTTAAACACATGAGTGGCATCTGATAAGAGGTAGTAAAACTAAATGACGTAGGAGATAAATCGCTTACCTGTTCGAAACAATAAGGTGGATTTCAACCAGTCATACTCGGATCTGTCTAGTCTGCACTGAGATAATCTTTTTAACAGACATGTCAACTTTTTAAGATCCTCCTTAATCTGAGGCCGCTTTAGTGCAATGGTCGAGACATCGTAATCTGAAAATCGCCACGTTTAAGTATTTTCGTAAAATAAATAAAAACTAGATAGATATAAATAGTATACAAAAACTTACCTTCTTCAAAGTAAAAAGAATATTCGGCTGCTGTAAGAATAAACAGTTCCTTCCATTTACTGCGCAACAAATTTATCTGTTCGGAGGGTTTCATATGAACGAATGTGCCAACTCCATGTAACCATTTTATTGAAGTCACTAAGATCTTCGCAGCCGGGGCGTGAACCTCTTCGTCAAGTTTCCAAGTATCAAAACAATACTTCTTTAATTTTGTTGTCATTTCTGAGATGCCGTCCATACTTGCTTTATTGTTATCTACAACATGCATTGCTTTGTGACGGTCATTCAGGTAATCGACGAATGTGTATGGCTTATAGTCTACACTTTGAGTACGTTTTTCCGATATTTTTGATACTATGTGTACTGGTGGTTCAAAGTTTGTAGGAGAATGTAGCGTGGCTTTTCTTGTATCTATGGACAAATGATATTGTTTCATATTCACATTGATGTTAGTATAAAAATTCAGTCTTTGGTTTTCGGCCCACGTTGAAACTAAATTAAATACAGATAGCTTTGCAGTCGCATAGGTACAAGTAAATAGCGCAAGTCAATATAATGGGCAGTCGCAGCGCTTCACGTTCATAGCATTTAAGTTAGATAATATATTGCGCTCACAATCTAAAAGAACTTACCTTCTTTCAAAATCGTTTCTACTTGGCATTCAGATTTGCAAGCTTCTTCAGAACTAGATACTTCATCTTCTTTAATTTTGTCAGAGAGTTGGGAATCTGGTTTTTCTGTAGAGTTAAAATATTATTTTACAATAATTTCTTAATTCTACTGAATGTTACTTGAGAGTTTGTTTACTCACTTTCTAAAGTATTTGTGGACGCAGATGACGTTACGACTGGCGGATACAAAATGTTGGTCGGAATATAAGCGGGATGAGGAACAGGATAATGAAGAGACGCTGAAAACAGTGGAATCTTAAATGGATTTAGTGGGCTAAGTGCACTGACATGTGTGCTGAGAAGTGGGCTTATCTGAGGGGCGTCGGCCGACATTGTGTCCGGAAGTCTCGATGGGGGGAAGTCTTGAAACGAAGTTCTGTCCAGAAAGGAATTGTGTGCGGTTGCATCGGGGAGGGTGGACACTAAGCCATTATATGTGTGGAGAGGTGGAAAAGTGGACAGGGTCAGGGGGGTCGGGCTCGGAATGAAAGGTTGTTGTCGCGTGAAGTTGTACCCGAGCTTCTGTAGCGCCATGTGGTGTTGGGCGGCTACCGACGGACGAGGAGCGCGCTCGTGTTGAACCGCTGCAAATGCGATGAAGTCTATTTTATTTATATTTACATATACAACACACTGATATAATAGTTTGTTATCTGCTGGCCATTACATTTTTCACATATTCAAAATTTTACATTATTTGTCAATCCTTCTATGGCTGTTCAATTGGAGTACCTAAGTCTTATTAGTGTTGCATTAACGCTTCACCAGAATTAAAAGACGCTTTTTTTAATTTAATCTAATCTCTGTCTGCCACTAACTTGTGACCACTTACAATCAAACATTAATATTTAAGAGCATACTGACTGTTTTATAAGTAAGCAATCGTAATATATAAACATCGGAAATCTGATGGTTAGAATAATAGGTAAGTGTTGAACAAACAATTCTGTTATAGGGGTGAGAGTGAAGACGGCACGGTCGCTGACTGTCGCGGTCGTCACCACTCGCTAACAATGAGCGGTGGCGCGCCTTGCACTCCATTCCGTATGTAAATAAATATCTGTGTGAACAGCGGCTGCTGTTGACAACTTGCCATCATGATACATTGTTTACTTTTTGACGCAATCTTGCTAACGGAACATTTGAAGCGTCTCGCTCCTTCCGAAATTGATTTGGACATTAAATATAAAATTATTCGTCAATTTAAATTGGAACGCGTAAGTAGTTTTTTTTTAAAGTTATCACAACGGTTTTATTATCTGGGTACCTGCCAGTAGCAAGGTGGGTTTGTACCGTCCAGTATATGCATTCTAACGAAATAAGGCATTGTATTTTAACTTTGTTGTTTTCAATTTATCAAGTTTTAGGTACAGTAGGTTTTAATTCGCGATAATTATATTCACGCATATTTAATTCTTTTTAAAGAAATACATTGGCTCCTCTGCCCGCTAAAGAAATATGGATGCTAGCGAATCTGGCTGTCAGATGCCGTCGAGACGGGAGGGCCGTATACCGCTAATTAAATAATAAAAAAATTAAATAAATTCTCTTCATCCAGTCTACGCATTCTAAAGTTCTTGAATACTGTGTCGAAGATATACAAACGTATCTTGTTATTATATAAATAATCAAATCTTAGCTACTAATTTCTCCAAAAGAAAAAAATACGTTTTTATATTGACCGATAATTATGAAAGAAAACAACATATTACGAGAGGTGTCTACATACGTGTCACCACGACGTTCATTGTGTGTGTGATTCTGTTGATATTTGACTTGGTGAGAGCGTGAACCTGTATTCTGACATGAAAGGGAAGATGAAAGCTCGGCGCTCGCGGCCCCTGCGTTTTTTCTCACTCACCACTTACCAACACTTGTCTACCGCAAATACTTGAAATGTTTCCTAATGGAAAAGACATGCTGCGAAGGAGCCACCCTGGATAAATACTTTATTGAGACAAGTGCTCGACCGTGTTCACTATTGATTAGCATTGAATATCGCCACATTTCTACTATTTTCGAGGGAATATAATATTATATTTTGCTATTCATTTAAACCAGACCACGTGCGTACTTACATACCTATGAAATAACTTGATTCCCAATGGCTTTATCAACGTTGTTAAGCGATTGCCGTGTTGGTAACTACAATAATGAGAGAGTAATTTTGAATCGCACTGGTATTAAAATATCAGTTATTCGTAATTACAAATACTGCTACGGCTATAGCTACGATAACGGCTACGGCTGCAGCTACGGATACAGCTACAGTGTGGGCTACGACACCACAGCTACGGCTACAGCTAGGGTTACGACTTCAGATGCGTCTACGGCGACCGACCGGTTACTAAACAAGCAAGTACCTACTATTTTTTTGTTTTATATTTGATCCATGTGATCCATGAGAAAATATTAACAAGAGGAACCTTATTAAAAATATTAACATAAAATGGTTTGAGGAAGAATTTGTGCAATATGTCGCGGGTTCGATTCCCAAACGGAACAACACTTTGATCCAAAAAAAAATTGGTTCGGGTCTGGTGTATGTGAATTTGTATGTTTGTAAACGACATAAAAGAAAATCTTACTGAATGTTTTTATGAAACAAAAAAAAAACTTACCATCTTTCTTCATATTGACGCGCAGACACTTGGAAAATCGACATGCCTGGCATTGGTTACGCCTTGTCACATCCACAACACAACGGCCATTTTCTTTACACACGTAGTCCAAATTACTGGGTACCAAAGCAAATGATATGTTACACCTTAAGCTGTCGTGAATTGCTACTATTATTTCAATCTAATTTAAATTTCCACTTTAAAAAGTATAACATGTTTCAGAAATATTAGCGTGATGTATTGATTATAGTTATCCTTTATTTTTTACGCCTTTTTAACGACGTTGCAATTGATTTGACGCTTTGAATTTTTTTTATAAGTATTCGAAGAGAAGTTGTACAAATAAGCAAGATGTTAACTAGGTTTTCTTTACTTGATGGCTATTAAATATAAATTAATTGTAAATTGCACATTACATTGTACCTACGTTAACCTAGCTTCACTGACGAACAGACTGACAGGACTACTATTCTATTTTGACGTTTCAAAAGTACCTATTTATGGTTTAGTTGGAATAAATGATTTTGATTTGATTTGATTTAGGAACGCCACGTTTTCGTTTAAAATCATATTGAATTTTCACATTAATTGGTTAGCTCTTAATGTTCGCAAGCTTATTGTCATTCATTAGTCTAAATTCCAGCTTCCTTGTTGTTATTGACCTATATATAATGACATTATCCAATCAAAAATCGTTGTTATCCAAGATTGGGGTTCGAACCCGAAATCCTTACAGACAATTTCGCTCGGCAGTCGCACTTTGCGACTAGTGAATGAAATTAAGCAGTAGGTATCTACATAGATTATATAGAACAGACAACATACATCATCATCATCATCGTTAGCATTAGCCGATGAGAGAAGGTTTGAACATTAATCACCACGCTTGCTCAAGGCGGAATGGCGATTTCAAATTTATATTAAGAAATTATTATTTCAAGTTTCCTCACGATGTTTTCCTATAGGTAGTATGTCAGTGGTGTCAAAATAATCATAGAAAGAACGTTACAAATAAATTGGAAAACGTCACATATGGAAAGAAAGAATGTACATATGTATAAGTTAAAGGACAAAAATTATAGTTACCGTCTAATGCTCCTTTTGAAGAACCCGCGGCAGCCATCACATGACGCCACGCCATAGTGTTTTCCCGAAGCTTTGTCGCCACAAACGCGACACAAAGTCTCCGGCTTCGTCTCCATTCTCCTGAGTAAATACATAAACAATGATACCTACTATCACGAGATTGATTACTAAGGATTGCACTTAAAAATTCAAGGTTTCTCAGAATTCCATCCTTAGCATACAATCATAGACATCGCATTCGTAAATTATGGGGTTTAGTATTAAACCTAATAGAGAACTTGTTATTGAGAGGACTTATTGAGGAGTATATAATCGGAAATATTTAGAAATGAAAGGTAAATGAAGTACTTATATTTCGTATGGACACAGGTGTGATGATGAGGGATAGTTAAACCCCAGACTACTGATCAATTACTTGTTAGGATTCTGTATTCAGCATTCATACGGCTTACAACCTACTTGATCTCAGTAACTACATGACGATATCACTATAAGTGCTGCAAAGCAAAGGCCCCTTCTCAGAGGGAAAAACTTGAGTATTAATCACCATGCTTTCTTAAAATAGATTGGCTATTTCTAACTAATAATTAGAAATTATAAGTCTAACCAAATACCACATTCTTTCCACAAAGTTTATTCATGGAAAGAACCATAGAACCATACTTGCAAAGTTCGGAAATGCCTAAATTAATAATTAATTGGCAAATGATACGAAACGTTTTACCTCATGACTGTTTATAGGCGCGGATATGTTTTAATTGCTAAAACTTTTTTTGGATCTAGTGCAAAACCTTCAGTTGAAATTTCACGTCTTAAATAAAGAATCTGTTTTATTTTAAAATCATATGAATGGGTTCATCTTACGTTAACTTTTTCAGTCGCGAAAAATGTTAGTCATAATTCGCTCATTCAAATTCCGTCCAAATTTATATCATGGGAATAAATCAAACATCTGACTTAATTCAATCCAGCCATAACTACATACATTCATCATAGTACTAAAAAGACTTGGACCTATCTTTAGTCCCATTGGTAGTCTATACATTTGATACTGTTGCATTGGTAATATAGTTGAGATAACTCACAATGACTGAAATATATTCTTGATCTAAGGAAATACTGATCGTCTTTGCCTGTGGCTATTGGATAAGGTAAGGTAAATAAGTTTTAGACAGACGCAGGTGAATTTCAGTTTAACTTAATTTTTATTCTGTGTTTTATTATTGGTGACTGCAAAAATATAGATAGATATAGATAGAGGCCAGAACTATTGCTTTTCTTCTCCTCCAAGTATCTTCTAATATAATTGGCTGGAGCTATGGAGATAAGTTCTCAGATTTTTTTTATTTCCAGATAATAATATGTAACTTATTTGAAATACTTCTAATATAATTACATATACCTATACCAATAATCGCATCAATATCAATGGAAAATTGCCACTTGGAAAACGTGTTGTTACCCTTACTCTGTTAGACAAGACTGACAACAGTCTGCTTGTGACCACGGCAGGTGTAAATATAAGGTACGTGCGCGTTAAATTCCGTAAAACAATAAAGTATTGATTTCATAGTGATCGTAACGGGAGACACAGGTGAAATTATCAGAATATTGTAATAGCTTAACAGGATGCGTTGAGAGAGTTCTCTCTGGATAATCTGAGAATCTACAGAAGAGAACATGTCTTTCTATACCTAGGATTTGACACACCTGATTAGTAAAAACGTAGAAGTGTTCAAACCCAAAGGAATCTCTGAGTATATACGAGCCACCCCAAACTTCGTGCCCTCCTAGGCCAAGATTGTCTTCAATACGGTGTAAGAAGCCTATTTGCAAAAGGTTTTAGTACTAATGTTGTTTTTTTGGGATTAATGTTCATTTAAAAAATAGGCCAGGGGAAACCCTATATCCAGAATAATAATACGTTGCAAAGTTGCATACATATGCACCGCAGTTCCTGTGATAATGGCACGAGCCCAGTCAATAACCGATGAAAATGACTTACAAAATTTTATTTTAAATATTGTTAAATATATCAACGGTTTTCAGATAAAATATGCGGGATGTATATCATTTTCTAACACAATAACGTAATCAAATCCTCGGCTAAACCCAATATGCACCCTTCTAAGGATAATGTAAAGTTTGAAAGAATTTCGCCACGTCACCGACGGCAGCCATTAATAATCGATTGATTATTCAAATAGGAAGGCCAGCGGTGTGACATCACACGTTAAAATATAAAAAATAACTCTTCGGCTGTCAGTACAGATAAATGAGATATTGATAGAAGTTTTTTTATCAAATTACCACATCATCTTTGTATCGTGTGCCTACTTTCGTGACGTCATCTTTTATTATCTCATTATATGGCGTTTTGTTATTTTTAGCAAGAACATTGAGAATCAATGTACCTACAGTGTTTTAGAAAAAGAACATATACTCAGATTCATAAATTAAAGCATGTACCTAATAAGCAATACAGAATACTATTCGGCAGGATCGCAAAAGTGGTTGAGCCACTTTTGCGGCAGGAACAGGCTGGATTCCGCCCCAACCGCTCATGTACGGACCAAATAAATACGCTTCGGATCATACTCGAAGAGTCCACCGAGTGGCAACGTGACATCTATATTACGTTTGTCGACTTTAAACAAGCGTTCGACACACTGCATTGGTCCAGTATTTGGCACCGACTTGACGAAATCGGAGTCCCACCCAAGATCAGAGACCTGCTCAAAGCCATGTACAAAAAGTACTCCTGCAGGGTTGCTCATGATGGTCTAATTTCCGAAGATATATCGGTTCAAGCGGGAGTCAAGCAAGGCTGTCTTCTCTCGCCTCTGCTTTTTCTTCTCGTCCTGGATGGTGTAATGCAGAAAGTAAACGACGGCAAGAGACGCGGTATAGAATGGGGGTTGTACAATCAGCTGGATGACCTAGACTATGCTGATGATCTGTGTCTGCTTAGCCATAAACATGCTGATATGCAAGCCAAACTGGACGACCTTCGGCTAGAGGCGGCAAAGGTTGGCCTTAAAATCAACTCAAGGAAGACCCACGAGATGCGCACCGGGAAAAACCAACAGTCCCTCACTCTTGATATGGAGCCAATCCAGTGTGTACAACAGTTTGATTACCTGGGAAGCATTGTGTCGAAGGAGGGAGGAGCGGAAGAGGACTCTGCCGCTAGAGTGACCAAAGCACGGGCGACCTTTGCACAACTTCGACCCATATGGCGATCAAAGAAGCTGACTCGTAGAGTCAAGCTTAAAATCTTCCGATCTAACGTCAAGCCCGTCTTACTCTATGGGTGCGAAACGTGGAAGGTAACAAAGGATATCACTCACTTAATCCAGGTCTTCGTCAACCGCTGCCTTCGGCAGATACTTGGCATTTTCTGGCCAGAGAAGATCTCGAACGAACGCTTGTGGGAGGCGTGCCGGGAAATGCCAATAGATAAGCAAATTACACGCCGAAAGTGGTCATGGATAGGGCACACCCTCAGGAGAGGTCCCACACACATACCAAGACAAGCTCTAGAGTGGACACCACAAGGCAGGCGAAAAGTTGGCCGTCCTAAGCAAACGTGGCGGCGCACAGTGGCGGCGGAAATAAGGAGGATAGGACTGCCCTGGTCCGAAATTAAGCACATAGCCCAAGATAGGTCCAAATGGAAAAATACTGTGGAAGCCCTCTGCCCCACCTAGGGGATATAGGAACTTAATATATATATATACCTAATAAGCATTAAATGATTAACTGTAAATAGCCGTAGAAACAAGACCAAACGTACCAACCAATAGATAAACGGTCGATATAACTTGAATCCGTAGGTAATGAACGTAGTCCGATTAATTTAAACCAGTAAATGAATCGAATGTGGAGTATATAGGTATACTATTCTATTGAGGAAGTTACTACATATAAAAGTTGTCGTCTAATAGGTCGGGGTTAAAGTTTGCTGTCTTGCTCTGAAGCACCTGTCATTTCACACGAGGGGTGAAGTTGGTAATTCTTATTTGGAACCAAGTCATTAATCGTTATGTCTTTTTCTTAACCGTTTAGGAAAACAAGAAAGACGGAGAAATTAACGGAGATATACTTAAAATTTGTATGTACCTGCGAGTTAGCGTAGGTAACCAGTCACCACATTTGCAAGTATATTTAGAATAAACTTAAAAAGGTAGGTAACTGTCTTATAATTATCTTGATTACTTCAACACTTAGTCTTTAGTGTTACTTCAATAAAATTAAAGTGTAAAATATACCGAAGGCGTAAAGTGTAACCGATCTTTTTCTTCAAATTAGCGACTTACACCTAAATTGTCGGTTCGGTAGTTAAACTATCGGCAAAACACTGACATGTTTTCGTAATTGTGGCGTGACGTGTACCTGACTACAGGTCACAATTACGCCGTATGTGCGGTGAAAATAACGGGGGACATGGTTCAGTAATTATCTATGAATGATAAACGCTACATACTTTGATTGTATGTTTCCCCTCACTAATTGCTACCGAGCGTAGTGGTTAACTTTTGGCTTTCGACTTTTGTAACTAATACCCACTAGGGATGCGTGATAGCGGGAATGTATGTATTTATCTTCTTTACGAATCATGAAAAGTTTTGAATGTAAAATTATGTTATCGATGTCGCTAGTAACGGTACTTTTTCCTTCTTAAGTCAACATATAACTTTTTAAAAGTAAAAGATTTTCTTCGTAAAAGTTTTTTTATTAGTTGTCGTTTCTAAAGAAATAATCAGGTTCCTTTCATTCCGGAATTAAAGTAATTCTCAACAAATCCACTGAGAAAGAAGTCCGGTTGTTCAGTCAACAAAAAATCTACATCTAACCTTTTTGTTAGTTGTCAAAACAAATGATACGTATGCATAAATGTTCCAAGATTTATAAATACCTATTTGAAGATTTCTACCTTCATACGTAGGTGTTACCTACCCACATTGGTTTAAGTGAGGTATTTCTAGCAACAACTGCAGAAACTTTAATTCAATCGTGGTTCCTAAAAAAACAGGTAAATTTAAATAAGCTTGGGCTATTAAATAAGAGAAAATATTAAGGACTATGGGTTATTAATATGTTTGTACAATAATAATCAA